TTTCAGCTGTATTAACTGATTACTTACTGGAAAAGAGTCGTGTTGTACAACATGGTCCTGGTGAAAGAAATTTTCATATTTTTTACTATTTGTTTGCTGGAATGACCAAGGACGAGTTGAGGAATTATAGCTTAGGTCATCCGGAAGATTTCAGGTAAACAACAAATTAATGCAATGGTCAAGTAGCCATAGTGTCAGTCACGAACTGGTTGGTAAACTTACATGTGTCAAATTAAATTAATTATTTGACGGTGGATATGTATCAAATATAGAAAATATACATTGATACGATAAAGAATATTTGAAATCAGCCCAGTCGCAAAGTTTATCAAAAGTGTAAGCAGCACATGCCTCTTAAGCAAAATCCATCATAGTGTTCTAGTTCCATTGGAAGTCCAATCTAAATTTAGACCAAAAAGAGCTTAAATCTAACATTGTAGGAAGATAGATTGCCTCATACTCTCATCTGGAAAAACTGTACACAATAATTGTTAAACTTGATCATTTTAATGTATATTACAGAATATTACGAAACGATAACAGGAATCGCCCTGTATTTAAAAGCACACGAGATTTAGAAAATAGTCGTTTAATGTTTCACAAACAACTAAATGTCATGAAATTAGTTGGATTTACAGACTGGGTAAGTAACAAAATGACATTGATGGTGAATTATATTACACAATGATATCACATGAGCACACAAAACAGTGCCAGTGGGAGTACAGGGGAGGCTTTTGTCCTCCTAGAAAAAGAGTTTGCACTTAGTTGTATCCCCACTTCAAAAATATGATTTTTATACGTTTTTGCCCTAAAATATGTGTCAGAATGCAACTAATCAGTTCTATTTTTCCAATTTTTCTTGGAGGAAAAACTGTACAAACCTGTTGCATTTTGAATCTCAACCAAGAGAGTTGTCCCTCCATTAAGTCAGTCTGCCCAGCCTGTCTCGGGAGGCTGACCCCGCAAAGGTACTGATGAACCATATATATTGGTATTTCATTGAGGACACCATTTTTTTAAAGAATGGAGTAACATTTTTATTTTGTTGTTATCCCCCATATCATTTACATTGGAATTTAATCAAGGGAAATAACCATTTTATTTTTAATTCAGGAAATATCTATGGTATTTACTGTATTGTCAGCAGTTCTACATGTTACCAATATAGTCTATATTAAAGATGAGAAAACAGAAAAGGCTAGATTTGCGGATTTAAAGAATTTAGAAATTGGTAATTAAATTTATAGTTTGGCATATTTTAAACTCCAATTTCACCAAAGATTTTTTTTTCCAAAAAGAT